TTCACCTTGTTGTAGAGGATATATAATTTTTGAAATAAAATCTCTATTTGAACTTTGATGGAAGTCTTTTGAATGGTAAGTCTTTTGTCCAATGAAGTGCATGCACGCATGCTCCTCTGTGCCTTGAAGCCTTGAAATATGTGTGTGTGTGTGTATTTTAATTGATAAACTAAAAGTACAATTTCTCCCAAATTTCTTTAAAAATTCTAATTTATTAGAATTTTCATTATTTTATTACACGCAATATTTTGATTATTTTATTATACACAATACTATCTTCTTCAGCTTGTAAAAAAATTGTTTTCATTTTTCTAATATGGCCTAAAAAATCCTGTAAGCTTTGGAGAGTTATTGCACTTTTGTGTGTCAGACTTTAAAAGCACTACTTTCTGGAGTAGAAAATCACCGGTTACGTTTGCTTCTCCCTAGGACACAATATTTCTGGAAAGCCCATTCTGAAGTAATTATGGTTTGTTGGATTGAATGAAAGATGTACTCTTCTGTCTTATGCACGTCATTTAATAATTCACATTCACAGTACTAATTCAAAACTCAAAAACAGAGGTATGAGTCGTATTTTGAAAGATGCTTCACCGTTCTTGCAAATTTCTAAGAGGAATGCAATACTTGTTTAATATTTTATTATGTTGTCTTAATTTTTCCTCCCAAATGAGGTAAATGGAAAAGTAGAACTTGCTTGAATTTTTACTTCCCAGGTCAAGCTCATCTCGATAATTTTCAGGTTCTACCAGGAAAAATGTTTGATCTCCTTGATGCACCTGTTCCCTTCATAGTGAGTAAAAAATTGATTTCTTTTATCTAAATTCTTGCTCACGTTTAAATGCAAACTTTTTATGTGTGGGCTAAACAGAGGCAGTTCATTTTGAAATAATGGGATATTTTATTAGAAACCTATCACCTCGATATCATAAGCTAGATGATTAGGAATCTTTTAATGGAAATAGCAGTAGGCAATAGGCAATTCTCTTATTAGTACATTTCATTTTATCAGTGCTCTTCTTGTAGATCTGAGATTTAAGTCCGAAATAGAAAGTTCATTGATCTGGATGTTTGAGCAAATAGGTTAAGGTTTGTTAATGAATCCAGATTATTTTATAACATCGGCTTCCCCCATTTGGTAATTTCTCAGGTTGGTACACTAAATAGACCAACGGATGTAAAGATGAAGACGTCTAATCTAGTTGTTGTTGATGTGCTTAAGGATCAGGTTAGGTGGAATTTTGCTGATCCTTTTGTTTTTCTTCACCATGTTTATGTATCAATCAGATTCTAAACAGATTTTTAAAGCCAGTAATTAGTTTCTGATGTTGGTTTTCAACTTCCTGCTCATTCAGGTGAAAACATGTTCCTTACCAACACTTCCACGACACAGAGAACTAGCCTCTGAGCTTGGCCCGGTCCATGCGAAATTGGCGAACAGGAGTTCAATTGCCAAAAAGCATCCTGTATATAGGTGCAACGAATATCAGGTTAGTATTGTTGGTTTAGCTACTTATTTTTCTTCTACTCCCATGCCTTGTGCTTATACTCGACTCTCAGATGTAACTTTGAATTTGCAGACTCAATACGCTACCCAGTTCTTGAATGTCATGAGGCAATACATGGACTCGCTGTGTTCAAATCTTAGATCTCATACCATAACTAGTGTTCAATCAAATAACGACAGGGTCAGAGAATCTACTTTCTGTTATACTTTAATTATCCCATAGCCAACCAATCTCTATAGCTCTTAGCTCTTTGTTTTTATGATTTCAGGTTTCTTTACTTCTTAAAGATAGCTTTATTGACTCGTTTGCTAGTAAGGACCGACCATTTATTAAGGTGATTTCCACTTCTCAGCTTGATTTCTTAGCCATTTCATTAACAATACTTTTATAGCTGAATCTCATGTGCATCATATGTTAATCATCTTACAACTGTCTTTCTTCTGGGTCAAAAACACTGAGTTCTTTCAGCTTCCTAAACAATAATAGCCTAAAACAATGAAGGAATTCGGAATCAAAACAAATGTGTTCATCCAGATAGTTGAAAATGATGTGATGAATTGTTTGCAGCTATTAGTAGACACGCAGCTTTTCAGTGTTCTTTCAGATTCTCGATTGTCGAGCTTTGAAAATGGGTTCGGTGAAGTGAATGCTTCCCCAACTCCAAAGGCAGAAGTAGAAGTACAACACAAAGTGCAGATGAAGCATCACTAGAGGTTTTCCTTGGGACCCATTAATTTGCAGCTCAACTGTTTTTAGTCAAATCAGTTTTGTAACATAACATTAATTAATAGCAACACTGAAAATATCTTAATTCTTTTCTTTTTTTAGCGAGGAGAAATACATATGTAAGTTTGTGAAAATTCTCGTGTAAATCTTGGCTACTTCAATTCCACAATAATAAATAAGTCGATGCACATACTCATTGTTCTATTCATTCGAAGACTATATTTGAAAGTAGATATGTCTATTTAAGTCGAAGTCAGAGTTGACTAAATAAAGATGAAGATGATAATTATATTCTCTGTCTTTGCTCTGTCCTCATTATTTATTTTATTATTATTGTTTATTTACTTCCCTGAAACCTCAATAAAATTAATTAATTTTCTAGGATACTTGCATGCATCGATGATAAGGTTGGTAGACACATTTTATAATAAATAGACATTCGAGTGTATTTTTTTATTATTTTTTTAAATAAAGTTATATTTAGTCTTTTAAATTTTTCAAATTTTTTTTTCAAAATTCCTTTTAGTTCTTATCCAAATATATTTCTTTTTTTTTTTAAAGAAAGTTATAACTTTAAAAAATTAAACTATGATTCCCTAAAAAAAAATCAAATAAAAAATATTATGAAATTCTGATCCCTTGATTCCATATCTGCAATTTTTTTTCTCCCTCGAATTCAAAAAAACGATAACAAACGGCATTAAATTAATTAATTAATTAAAGCAAACATGATATTATTGTTGACCACAGAATAATTGAGAATTAATATGTCGCACAGTAATTCCGCCACTAATTCTAATTGCTTAACATTTATTATTTTTGTAATAATGTATAATTATGATTGAAATTGCATAAAAGGCATGTGTATTACCCATAATATGCTTCAATAATGATAATATATGTATTTTAATAATGATTCAAATCTACCCACTAATTTTTGTTATTATTATAAATACTGAAAACGCTTCCCTTATTTCTACAATTGGATAAAAATAACATTTTAAATTTATTATTCACAATTAATTATTTTTATGAACTCATTTGAAAAAACATAAATGTATTATTCATAACTTACTTTTGAGTAATTTATTTATTATTGTAAATACTGAGTAATTATTCCATATGCAACTGTGGAAGCCTCCACCCAATGCTTATTTAAAAAAAAAAAATTAAAAAAATTAAAATCCGCTGAAAAATAATTCCATTATTCATTAAAATTAATTAGCGACCACCGGAAAAAATGCACCTAAAAGTATTTTATAATTAAATAAAGATATTTTATAATTCTTAATTCAATCTCTAATTTTTTTTTAAAAAAAAGCTCATACTTGATATATATTAAAAAATGGAAATAAATTAAAAAAAATATTGAAGGAGGGTAAGGATTTAAATGGCTGGTAGAAATAAACAGTGAAAACATTAAATAAATATTAAATATTATAACTCATTTGGTTTAGAAAGTGAGAGACTAAAGAAGGATGGAAAGGCTCATAAATTTGGTTGTTGGGAGAAATTATAATCAAAATTCTTTATTTGTATTAAAAAAATAATTAATTTTAAAATATTAAAATTTACTCTAACCTTATAAAGCGCATTAACTAAAACACTTTCTCCTCACAATTACTTTTTTCCCTCTAATATTATATATATGAATTAGTGGAATTAGAATTTAGTTAATTAATTATTCTAAATAAATGTTGACATTTATCCATTTTCCAAATAAATAAATAAAATTACACTATGAAGATAATTTTTTTTAATATTCATTTTCTTAATATAGACTAAAAACATAATTGGACATTTATCCATTTACCAAAAAAAAAAAAAATCATAATGGTAATTACTTTTTTTTTTATATCTATTTTCTTAAATATTCGGGTTTATGATGAATGAAAATGTTACCCTAAATTTTTGACAAATCTAGATTTTGATTTTTACTATTTCACACTATTTTGAATACTGTGGATTAAGAAAATACACGTAAAAATGAAGTAATACATTGGAGAACAATCACAGAGAATCTGACATCGTTATCTTAATTGGTACAAAAGAAGAAACATAAATATCACTTTTGAGACGACGTAAAAATATGGATACCTAATTTCATCACGTGAATGTGACAACCCAAGTGGACCAATGGGTTTGGCATCAAACAACAATCAACCTTTTTTATTTTTATATGCTTTTTCATATCTTTAAAATATCTAACTTATTTCTTTTGAGGGAATGTCTTCTCCAAGTTATATTTGTTCAGAAAGAGGCATCATTGCAGCAGCTTTATGACAAATTTTCATTCTCTTTTACCCCAATACTTTTATATCGATTGATTGATTTTGAGGAAGGAATTTTTTAGACTTTGATTTTAGTTACTACAAAAAGCTTTGTACTAATCAAAATTCTTTGGATAATAAATTTTTAGAAATTATTTCATTAGTTTATACAATTAATTTTAAAATTTTAATCGAAATTAAAATATTGATGTGAAAGTTTGATTGAAAAAAATGAATTATAGGGTTTGGTTGAATGTTGGTTGGAGGTTTTTTAGTGGAGGGGAGGAGAAATAATTTGATAAAACGTAATTGAAAGGGGAGTAGTAAGGATGCACCATGAATGTTAACCATGAATGTTAAGGACGCGTATAAATATATGTAACACAAAGAAAGATATATAGATAATGGCATCAGATTCAGATTCCAGAGTGTGTTGGTGGAGTGAGGTGTTAAGCGACCTACTAGGCACGCACCCGCGTCTTCTCTTTTGATTTCTGAATTTTCAATTCCCAAATGTGGAGGGGATTTCTCCATTCAGCGCACAACACACATTTAAGAGAGGGAGAGACATAATTACAGAAGAAAACAAAAGAATGTGCTTGGATAAAGACGAAATTTGAGTGAAATTTTGTTAGCGGGGGAGCTCCTTCGGGCTGCAAGTAACGCCATTGATAAACCCAACAGCAAAATCCGGGCCGATTTGAGTTTCCTCAAATGTCTCTCTTTCTATTTTTCGTTCAACTCTCTCTTCCGCTCGGCGGTTTGTTTTTGTATTAAACCCCAACCCCATATCCTTAAAAAGCCGCCTTGGGAGCCTTTCTAGCTTTTATTTCTAAACGAGAGAACAAGGAGAGAGTGCTGTCCCTCTCTCTCTCTCTCCATCTCTCTCCCCTTTCATTTTCTTGATTTGTTTGGATCATACCCATTTTCATCATCGTTTTTAATCGATTTTGAGATTTGGGTTTTGTACGATTCCTCTTGTTTCCCTGCGCTCTCCCTCGTTTCATCTCTGGATTTATTCATTGGCGGATTAATTGGTGTTCAAGACTGGAGAAGCAACTGGGTTTGGTTTGTTTGTCATCAGTAATCACGTACTACTTACCTCTTGCCAAGCCAGGTCGGTCAGTTTTATTTTTGCACTTTCAGTGATGGGTCGTCTTTTTTTGTCCATTCCACGTTTTGATACAGACAGGAAGACAGTGTTTGAACGCACAATCATCGCTCTATTTCTCTATGTCTCTCTCTTTCTGCGTTTCTTCGACTTTCGTGTTAACAAAAAATCCATTTGTTGGCATATGCTATGTGTCTGCAGGCTGTCTATTGACATACTCATTAGGTGTCTACGAGAACCCAGATGGTGAAATGCTCATCTTCATAACTGGGTTTTATTTCTCTCACTTAACTCGTCCCCGACTCACTGTTTTGAATCGCCTTCCTCACCTACGCCCCGCAATCAGTGATGGGTGTTGCCCATTTATTGAATAGAATCCAAGCTTTGTCATCTGATGTACGATCGTCTAATGCCTTGTCAGAAGCATTTGGAACGTTGCCAATTTTGGAGCTCGCATCAATCGGCATTAACTTTGCACTCTGTATCTTGTTCTTCTTCATTGTCGTAGCGAAGCGGATATCTGTTTTTGTTGGTCGCCTTGGCTTCGACAAGGATGATGAATCTGACACGAATGCAAGTCCAATTCGGCGCAGGGCGGATGGTGAAATTCATGATGTTGACATCGGTACCAGTTTCAAAATGTCCGTTTCATGTTGTTTCTATGTGTTGTTTGTGCAAGTTTTTGTATTAGCTTTCGATCTCGTTAGTTCAATTGGAGATTCTGTTAATGGGAAGGAGGATAAAGGTTGGTCTGTGGTTTGCTTTCCGGTAGCTCAAGTTTTGTCTTGGTTTCTTTTGAGCTTTTTGGCCCTGCGTTGCAAATTCAAGGCTTCGGAGAAATTTTCATTGTTGTTGAGGGTCTGGTGGTTTGTGTCATTTGTTCTTTGTCTGTCTGCTCTGTATGTTGATGGAAGAGAATTGTTTGTACAAGGTCTGAAACACCTGCGTTCCCATGTTGTTGCAAATTTTGCTGCAACTCCTGCCGTGGCTTTCCTTTGTTTTGTGGCTGTTAGGGGGGTTACTGGTATAAAAGTTTATAGGAACCCTGATCTTCAAGACCCATTGCTTCTTGAGGAAGAAGAACCTGGATGTCTCAAGGTAACCCCTTACAGTGAAGCCGGGCTCTTTAGTTTAACTACGCTTTCTTGGCTGAACCCTCTTCTCTCAATTGGTGCGAAAAGACCACTTGAACTCAAGGACATTCCCCTTCTTGCACCGAAAGATCGAGCTAAAAACAATTATAAGGTTTTGAACTCAAACTGGGAGAAGTTGAAAGCAGATAATCCTTCCAAACAGCCTTCTCTTGCTTGGGCCATTCTGAAGTCTTTCTGGAAGGAGGCAGCTTGTAATGCCATCTTTGCTGGCCTGAATACTGTGGTTTCGTATGTTGGTCCTTATATGATTAGCTACTTTGTCGATTACTTGGGGGGGAAAGAAACTTTCCCCCATGAAGGATACATTTTGGCTGGAACATTCTTCATAGCGAAGCTTGTGGAAACTCTGACAGCGAGACAGTGGTATCTTGGGGTAGACATTTTGGGGATGCACGTGAGATCGGCTCTCACAGCATTAGTATATAGAAAAGGCCTTCGGCTTTCCAGCACTGCTAAACAGAGTCATACCAGTGGAGAGATTGTGAACTACATGGCTGTTGATGTGCAAAGGGTTGGAGATTACTCATGGTATCTTCATGATGCTTGGATGCTCCCTATGCAAATCATTCTTGCTCTAGCTATTTTGTATAAGAACGTTGGAATTGCTTCTATTGCAACATTGATTGCCACCATCGTCTCCATTCTTGTTACCATTCCAATAGCTAGAATACAAGAGGATTATCAAGACAAATTGATGGCAGCCAAGGATGATAGGATGAGAAAAACTTCTGAGTGCCTAAGAAGCATGAGGATTCTGAAGCTGCAAGCTTGGGAAGTCAGGTATAAAGCGAAGTTGGAAGAGATGCGGGGTGTGGAGTTCAAGTGGCTCCGAAAAGCTCTTTATTCGCAAGCCTTCATTACTTTCATTTTCTGGAGTTCCCCAATATTTGTGTCTGTTGTTACTTTTGCCACCTGCATATTGTTGGGTGGTCAGCTGACTGCAGGCAGTGTTCTTTCTGCTCTAGCCACTTTTAGAATTCTCCAAGAACCACTTAGGAATTTCCCTGACCTGGTGTCGATGATGGCTCAGACAAAAGTTTCTCTAGACCGAATTTCTGGACTACTGCTGGAGGAAGAGTTGCAGGAAGATGCAACTATTGTCCTACCTCGAGCCATGCCAAATGCAGCCGTAGAAATCAAAGATGGCCACTTCTCCTGGGACACTTCCTCTCCAAGGCCAACTTTATCAGGAATACAAGTGCGAGTGGAGAAAGGGATGCGTGTCGCCGTTTGTGGTGTTGTTGGTTCTGGGAAATCAAGCTTCCTCTCTTGCATCCTTGGGGAGATTCCAAAAATCATGGGGGAAGTAAGTCTTTTAGAATTCCGCTCTTGATGTCATATTTCGATGTCGCTTTTTGTTAGTGGAGATGTTTCAAGTTTCTTTGAGTCCTTCATTTTTTTGCTATGCCCAGGTAAAATTATGTGGCACTTCCGCATATGTGCCTCAATCACCTTGGATACAATCTGGAAACATAGAAGAAAATATTCTTTTTGGAAGTCCTCTTGACAAACCAAAATACAAGAATGCTATTCAAGCTTGTTCACTGAAGAAGGATTTGGAGAATCTTCCGCATGGAGATCAAACAATAATTGGTGATAGAGGAATAAATCTTAGTGGAGGTCAAAAACAACGGGTTCAGCTTGCCAGGGCACTTTATCAAGATGCCGATATTTATTTACTTGATGACCCATTCAGTGCTGTTGATATACACACTGCCTTAGACTTGTTCAAGGTTATATATATATATTTTTTGTGGCATTCTGTCTTGTTCTCGGGTATTTGGTCGTTTGTTTATTATAACGGTGACATGGAATGCAGGAGTACATAATGACGGCACTAGCAGACAAAACTGTCATTTTTGTTACACATCAAGTTGAATTTTTGCCGGCTGTTGATTTGATACTGGTATGAATTATTGGTCGTATGTTATGTAATTGATGCTTTTGGAGAATCATACTCTGGAATTTTTTTTGCACATACTAGCAGACAAAACTATCGGTTTTAATGTTCGTATATTATGTTCGTGCCATTGTGATGTCTCCTATGCCTTTTCATTTTGTTCCCTAACACAGAAAAGAAGTATCCAACAATTTTTCTGTATTAATGTAATTTCTTGATGACTTGGAAAGAAATATTGTTTAGGGCTTTTCTGTGTAGAACATGTCTTATATTATTAATAGTTTGTCGAAGCTTTTGTGTCGATGTGAAATGATATTACAATGATATCTTTCTCTTAGGCATTCATTTTCCATGTGTACAGGTTATCAAAGAAGGCCGCATTATACAGGCAGGAAAATATGATGATCTTTTACAAGCAGGGACTGACTTCAACACTTTGGTAACTGCTCATCATGAAGCTATTGAAGCTATGGATATTCCCAACCATTCATCTGAAGATTCAGATGAAACTATGTCTGCCGATGAATCTCTGAATATTGGTAAAAAGTGTGATCTTGTTAGAAATAACATTGGCGATTTGGATAAGGAAGTGCAGGACTGTATATCGGCAGCGGAGCAAAAGGCAATCAAGGAGAAAAAAAAGGCAAAACGTTCTAGAAAAAGACAGCTTGTACAGGAAGAGGAAAGGGTAAGAGGCCGGGTCAGCATGAAGGTCTACTTTTCGTACATGGCTGCAGCATATAAAGGCTTTTTAATTCCGCTCATAATTGTTGCACAAGTGCTGTTTCAGTTCCTACAGATTGCAAGCAACTGGTGGATGGCATGGGCAAATCCCCAAACTGAAGGGGACCAACCTAAAGTGACTCCCACGATCCTCCTTGTGGTCTACATGGCCCTTGCTTTTGGGAGCTCTTGGTTTGTATTTGTTAGGGCTATTCTGGTTGCTATGTTCGGTCTCGCAGCTGCTCAAAAATTGTTTATCAAGATGCTTACATCTATTTTTCGTGCACCCATGTCATTCTTTGACTCAACACCAGCAGGACGGATCTTGAATCGTGTAAGTTTCTCGTTCTAAGAGACAGATGTCCAATCAATTTAATCATGCTATTCACACACACTAAAGTTTTCTTTGAACTTTGAATTACTTTATTACTTTCGGCCTTATAGGTGTCCATTGACCAAAGTGTTGTGGATCTTGATATTCCTTTTCGACTTGGTGGGTTTGCTTCGACAACAATACAACTTATTGGCATAGTTGGTGTTATGTCAGAAGTTACCTGGCAAGTCTTGCTTTTAGTCATTCCCATGGCTATTGTTTGTTTGTGGATGCAGGTGAGTACTGGTTACAGCTTCCGCCTTCCATTTTTTCGCTTATGATACTCGTGCATTCTTTATATTTTGCATTATGAGAAGAAAATAATTTCTCCCATCACTTATACTACGTCGTTCTACAGTACTTCATCTCATGTAATTACCTTTTTCCATTTATATTTATCATATTTTGTCGGTCTGTTCATGATGCTTCGTTCTATTATCGTAAAAAGCGGAAAGATATAAACTATAGAAAGGAAAACAGATATTAAATGTAATGAAGAGAAAAATTCTTTTGTTTTAAAGAATCACAAGTACTATAACAAAAGAAGAAATCAGATCTACTTATTCAATACGTTTACTCCAAAAGCACGTGGCCGTGTCGGCCACAACTTCGTGCATCATGTAGAATTTCCAGCCTTGATAAATCATTTCTTTGTTGTATCGATGGAATGTATATTCGACTTCGAGTAAAGAGATGTTTACAAAAAAAAAGTTACTGCAAAAGTGAGGAAGGTCTGAGGTTGCAAAAGGGCTATCTAATAACATGCGTGTTGACCTTACTAAGTGTACTTTATGATGCAGAAATACTACATGGCTTCATCAAGGGAGCTTGTTCGTATTGTCAGCATCCAGAAATCTCCAGTTATAAATCTATTTGGCGAGTCAATTGCTGGAGCAGCGACAATACGAGGTTTTGGTCAGGAAAAACGGTTTATGAAGAGAAATCTTTATCTTCTTGATTGTCATTCTCGCCCATTCTTCTGCAGTCTTGCAGCTATTGAGTGGCTCTGTCTGCGTATGGAACTGCTCTCCACTTTCGTCTTTGCTTTCTGCATGGTTTTACTTGTCAGCTTTCCTCATGGAAGTATTGATCCAAGTATGTTAACATTCTCTTCTAGATTATTGCCTTTTCGTATGCTTGCCCTTTTTCATTGCTATTGAGTTGTTGGTCCTGCAAACCATGGTTGAAATCGCGTATGAAATCTAGTTTGTTCGGGCGTTATTATTAATTCTATCTGTTAGTTTATATAATTCTGTTCTCTACTTCGAGGTTAGCATATGGACCTTGAATCTTGCATGTAAATGGTAAAAACATAAGACACGAGATTGCTGGTTTTTGTTTGTACAGGCATGGCTGGCCTTGCGGTAACATACGGTCTAAATCTAAATGCTCGCCTGTCACGGTGGATACTCAGCTTTTGCAAGCTTGAGAACAAGATTATATCTATTGAAAGGATTTATCAGTACAGCCAAATTCCAAGTGAGGCACCAGTACTTATCGAGGACTCTCGTCCTCTTTCCACGTGGCCTGAGTATGGAGCTATTGAGCTTACTGACCTGAAGGTAATGATTGACTTGCGATATTATCGTTTTTTCGTGTTACTGAACTCAAGTATTTCTTGCGTTGAGGCCTGAAGTACGTGGTGGAGTTTTATAACCTTGTGTCCTCTATCAAGGCCATGGGTTTTAGATAAAAATATTTTCAGTTCCGACTCGAAAATCTTCTCATGTTCATACAATGTCTGATGAAACTGAGAAATTCGGAACTCATTTGCTTTTTCAAGGTTCGGTACAAGGAGAATCTTCCTTTGGTGCTCCGTGGTATAACTTGCAGCTTCCCCGGTGGAAAGAAGATCGGGATTGTTGGTAGAACTGGAAGCGGTAAATCTACTTTGATCCAGGCTCTATTCCGATTGGTCGAACCATCAAGTGGAAAGATAGTTATCGACAATATCGATATTTCGACAATTGGCCTTCATGACCTTCGAAGCCGTCTCAGTATCATACCTCAGGATCCCACTTTATTTGAAGGCACAATTAGAGGCAATCTCGATCCCCTTGAAGAGCATTCTGATCATGATATTTGGGAGGTTTGATCTCTCTCTCAAATCACTTCACTGCTTTTTGTACTAAAATTGCTGTAGTTGTATGTTTTAATGATCTTGTTCCTTAAAATGAAATGGGTTTTTCCTGATTTATATTTCACATCGCTTAGGCACTGGATAAGTCGCAGCTAGGACAGATGATCCGCGACAAGGAGCAAAAACTTGATACACCAGGTGTGTAACAAGCACAGATATGAAGCTTAATCTTTGGTTTATTCTGTTTCGTGTGGCTGCGCCCGACATATATTTCATGCCTCACCATCCTCTTTACAATGAACTTGCAGTGCTTGAAAATGGTGATAATTGGAGTGTAGGACAGAGGCAACTCGTGGCGTTGGGCCGTGCACTATTGAGACAAGCCAGAATACTTGTTCTCGATGAAGCCACGGCATCTGTCGATATGGCCACAGATAATCTCATCCAGAAGGTTATTAGAACAGAGTTCAGAGACTGCACCGTGTGTACAATTGCACACAGAATTCCGACGGTCGTTGACAGTGATCTGGTGCTGGTACTAAGCGATGGTGAGTACAGCCCGTAACCGAAAGCCAAAGTTGTAGGCGTTACGTTGAGTACATCTTTCATTTCACATGTTAGTTAATTTGGATGTGGTTTGCAGGTAGAGTTGCAGAGTTCGATTCTCCGGCACGACTATTTGAGGATAAGTCATCGATGTTCCTTAAATTAGTGACGGAGTATTCGACAAGATAAAATGAAGCAAAGCAGAGGTTTTGTCGAGATGGGATGCGTGGAAACGACGTCTATCTCAGTCGGGTGCAGGAGGCGGAAGGGCCATAGCGGCCACTGCTGGTTGAGCGGGAGATCTGCATCTGCATCTGGCAGCAACAGGAAAAGGAAGGAAAGAATAAAAAAAAGAGAGGGGAAGGGGGCAGCAAGGGTTAGACAAAGAAGGCGTTGTAAATTGAAAGAGAGGTTGTTGATGTTTTATGGAATGAATGATTCATTCATGGTTAGGAGGAATTAGAATGAACAATAAATCAAACCCATGTATGCCACAACAATAATTCACACCAAAGAATATGAGAGCGGCCATGGTTTTTTTTCCCACTACTTGGTTTAGATAAGAGTTGTCTCTTCATTCTTTTCAACTTTGAGGTTCAAATTTTTGTTTGGAATGGATAGATGAAAATATCATAATAAAAATATCATAATAATAGGTTCGGCTGAGAACTAATGGAACCGTTGCCATGAGCTATTACAAATGGTATAGTTAGATGAGGACGCTAGGCTCCGGCTCCAGAGGGGTGGATTGTGAGACAAATGGTATAGTTAGATGAGGACGCTAGGCTCCGACTCCAGAGGGGGTGGATTGTGAGAGGAGAATAAATCTTTCCTTACAAGGATGTGGAAACCTTTCTTAAACACGTTTTTAAATCGTGAAGCCAAATTAACGTGAGCTTCTCCTTTTTGCATACATGGAGTTGAAGCCTTTCTGCTAGGCTCAATAATGTTAAATGGTAAATAATCATTTAATAATATGATTTGGGCTAAATTCGTGAAAGTATGGGCTACATAATGGGCCACAATGAGGCCCACTTAAAAAAGAAAACCCAAAGTCCAATAGTGCAGGCCCTTTCGTCAATATTCCTCACCCTGTTAACTGCAGCGCTTCTCTCCCCCTCCGTCACTCTCTCCGACCACATTCCGAGCAAGGATGCAGGCCCTTTCGAGGCGTCTAACGCAGCAGCAGTCTCTCAACTCTCCTTCATCTATTTCTTCCCTCAAGTTGATATGCCCTCTTTCTCATCACTGTAATCCTTCATTGCTCTCTCTCTCTCTCTCTCTCTGTTGTGTGATTCCACTTACATCTTGATTTCTTCCATTTTAGCCTCTTCTATTCATTTTTTTTTCTTTTTCCAGATTCTGGAGCTGATCGTCCACGGTATGAATCCACCTTGGCTACGCGGGGAGCGGGGCACCTTGTCCGCAAGGGCACTGGTGGGAGATCGTCTGTTAGGTAATTTAACCCTATATTTTTCTTCGTGTTTCATTTTCCTATTTGATCGTCGGGCCAATGTCGTGCAAGTAATGCTGGATATACTTCGGATTTCTGAGGGGATTTAACAAATTTAATGTAATAATTAGTAGTAGTGGTTCAAGTTTGGAATTCTATTGCCGTTCATTGCTTGATTCATATCATGATAAAGGTAAGCATTTGTTAGATATAATCTTTTTGTATTGAATAATTTAAAAGATCATGGTAAAATGAGTTGAATAATTTAAAAGTTCATTGTATTGAATAATTTTTTAATGGAATAATTTAAAAGTTCATTGTATTGAATAATTTTTTAATAGTTTATCTTCTCCTGTTGGATAATCCTAGAATTAGCTTATCTGTTCTCTTTTAAACATACACATTAGATTTTCAAGCAGACCAGATTATTGATATCTAACTCGATTTGGGTTTATTTCTAGTTAAAATCAAAATTCTGAATCTGAATTTGCTGATTTTACTCTCTCATCATAAAAATATTTTGCAGTGGGATTGTGGCTACTGTCTTTGGAGCTACTGGATTCCTTGGCCGTTATGTTGTACAACAACTAGGTAATAGGTGAACATAAATGATGCTAGCACTCGGTTTCTTTTTTGCCTCTATATGCAATTTATCTGTCCCTGTATATCTTCTACTTTTAAATGGTTCTGGTAGTGGGTTTGGCAGCATTGGCTCTATTATTGACATTTTATCAATTTTATGCCAAGTGTGATTTTGGAAATCAATTTTGTTTCAGCTAAAATGGGGTCCCAAGTGTTAGTCCCTTTTCGAGGTTCTGAAGATTCACCTCGTCATCTTAAATTAATGGGAGATCTGGGACAGGTAGAGCAATATATGATGTTGTTATGGACGGGAGTACAAATTCTCTTTTTCATGTGCTGCTGAGCTCTCTCTTTTCCCCCTCACTGTTAGTTTGATCATCTTAACTCTTTTTTTTTTTTTTTTTTTGTTCTCCTTTATTTATTTATTCCCCAGATAGTACCAATGAAATACAACCCAAGAGATGAAAATTCAATAAAAGCTGTAATGGCAAAGTCTAATGTCGTCCTTAATCTTATTGGTACGGGATTCCCATATTTTTTCCCGTCTTGTGAAATGTTAAATCTTTTTTTTTTTTTTTTTTTTTAGAATTCTAGTATTAGACATTACCCTATTTGTTGACAGGAAGAGAGTATGAAACAAGAAATTACAGTTTTGAGGAGGTAAATCATTCCATGGCTGAACAACTTGCCACGGTATGCTTCTTAGAACTGATCTTTTTTATTTTTTCAGTTTTTCTTATGAAAGTTACCTTCTTTCGGCTGTTCTATTCGCATCTCCTGCATCATTATTTGGCTTGTGTTTTCATATGGCCCTCTTAAAAAGGATTAAAAATTGATGGGAAGGCTATAATCATTACAAAATTGAAGTAATTAGGGAAAGCAAAGATGTATATGAATGAGAGGATGGGATATAGTGATGGGTGAGTACGGAAGTAGATGAAAGCTGGGACAAGCATCTATCAATGTGGGCTTGAAGTGGAGGAAATGGGAATAGGCTTGGCCTTTGCGGAGCCTATTGGATGAAAATCCACCAAGCTAATATTAGATAGTTGTCATCGTACCAGGTCATTTCGGGGGGGAATTTTACCTGATCTAATATATTGGAAGTGAGGAAAAATTTGGTAAGTGTATTCTTCAAATGATGGTTTTGTTTCTATTACAATTTTGTTCAATCCTTGTTTTATTTTGTCTACAAATTCTTAATAATTTAGTGACATACGTCTATGTGTTGATTGAAGTAATTAAAAAGTGCTTGGCTCACTTGAGCACAAAGTGCAAGAGAAATTAAGGTTTTAGGTACAGAAGCGACAAATATAATTAACTTTTTATATATAAAAAAATATTGTAGTATTATTTTTGAATTAGAAAAAAGAAAAAATCATTAATCAATAAACTGTGAGAAAAATGGAAGAATATGAAAGGGTTTACAAGAACAACAACTCAAAAAAAAGGAGCCAACCAACAACAGACCTAACGAGGAAAACGGCACCAATTCGAAAGATTAAGGTGTGGAGGATAATTAGAAAAGTCTTTAACTATGAGCAAACAAAATTTGATTAAAAAAATCATTGATGATACGTAACAATTGTTTTGATTGAAAACAGTTTCAAAATTTTGATGGATGATGGTTCAATTTTAAACAATATATTATTAGTAATAATATGATAACGATACAATTTTAAGAAATTAGAGCTTTTTAGGAGAGTGGGGAGAGAAATGAATACTTTTTGTGAGTAATTCATAGTTTGTATAAAAAAATAAAATAAGCTATTTAAAAAGGGCTTCAAGTGCAGAGGCACCATGCACTTGCATAGAGGCACTTTTTAAAACACTGGTTTATATGATCTGTTTCCCCATTAAGATACTGTTGCAGTTGGCATCTCATATTCAAACCAGTAGCATCTTCCCTAGATCCTCTACCATTCTGAATATTAATTAATAAAGACAAGATAGACAAAAAGGGAGAGTAGGTGCGTATATTAAGTTGAAGTATAATGGTTGAAGTAGGTTGCATATATAATCCATCACTCAGCTATGCAACTTCTTGATATTTTGCTTTGTTTCTAATTTAAGTATGAAGTTTTTTCTTTACGTAGGCAAAGGCAACTTTTGTAATCATCATATAGGGTTAAATCACGAATGTGCATTCAGTTTTTTTCTTTTTTAAGCTACGAAGTAGTAAACAAAGAAGTTATGATTCCTCCTTTGTTCTTTCTTTTCTTTTCTGTCTTTATGTTCACTGCCCTCTTTTCTTCTTTTGAGTCATGTAGATTAGTTTGTTCCTTCCTTTTCAATATTGTAGATTGCCAAAGAACACGGTGGCATCATGAGGTTTATTCAAGTTTCCTGTCTGGGAGCATCTTCATCGGCTCCGTCCAGATTTCTGAGAGCTAAAGCTGCTGCTGAAGAATCTGTTTTAAAGGCATTCCCTGAGGTAATTATTTATCATTTTTTTTTTCCTGTTTTTGGGTTGATAATGCTACATGAAGTCACGTAGCTGAGAATATAGTTTTTCTGATTGTAGTTTCATACTATTAGAGAATCATACAAATCTTGATCATTTATCATGTATTTATTTTTTGTTCTCGTGGGAGTAATCTTTGGTGAATGAAGGTTGACGTGAAACTGTGTTCAAGATTGAGATGAAATCGTGTTTAGGGTTGAGATGAATATCTAATGTTGCATATTAGTTTTATTGATTGTATGGATAGAAAGCGTGCTAATTTCAAATCCTTAGTTCAAATTTGCGATCTACAATTTGGAATTTCAATCCTAGAATTGAAAATTATTTTTTATTGATATTTTGCTTTTATATTTTAATTAATTTATTTAACGTTTGGGTGGACCTCATCCACTTCCTTGTTCATAATTTGGCATTATGATATTATTAATAAGGTCTTGTTTCTTGTATTGATTTTCTTTTTTCATAGGAAACATCATGTTTTGTATGTGCTCTACTAAAGGACCGTATGCAAATGAAAAAAAATCTAGAGATTACATAAAAGGCTTTAGTTGTTGACTCGAGAATAATAGATAAATGATAATTACATAAATCTTCAGAAGTAGATGATGGGAGCTCGAAGATGCCAATGCGATTTACATTTACATGTGAGAGGAGGATAGTGGGCAACAACATAGATAGGTGATTGTGGGGGTGTGCTTTGTGTATTTGACCCCCCTAAATTTGTAATAAGGTAGCATGGCAATAGGTTTCATGGGAGGAAAGGACTTTATATGTGTGGAGCCATTACATGGGCTTCGGTTATTTCTGCATTTTTAAGGACTTTATAAGTTAAATTTTTTTTTACTAGTTTATAGGATAAAAATAAAAATACTTTTATTAATAGTTATTTATATTTTAATTATTAATTAGTAATTATAATAAGAAGATTTATATAAAAAATGAATAACGTAAATTAAAAAATTTATGCAAACAAAAAAAATAAAAAATAAAAAATAAAAAAATAAATAAAATGGAGAGAGGGAGGTAGGAGTGAGGACATAGGGAAGT